TATTTATACACAACGGAAGTTTACTCAGCCATGAAAAAGAATAAAACCTTATCATTCACAAGTAAATAGATGGAACTAGAGAACATCATTCTGAGGAAGGTTGGTCACGCTCAGAAGACCAAAAATCATATGTTCTCCCTCATATGCGGACTTTAGAATCTAGGGCAAATTCAACAATGTGGTTGGACTTGCGTCACATGTACGGGAGGCATGGGGATAGGTAAGTGACCCAAAACATGAAAGTGTTTGATGTCCCCACTGCAGAGGAGCTAATACAGAAACCTTAAAGTGACAGAGGTCAGTATGGGAAGGGGATCAGGAACTAGTGAAAAGGTCAGAGATGATTCAACTTGGGATGTAACACATTTGTACGTGGAAGTAATGCTAGGAATCTCTCTGTATAGCTACCCTTATCTCAACTAGCAAAAATGCTTTGTCTTTCTTACTGTTGCTTATGTTTTCTCTTCAACAAAATTAGAGATAAGGGCAGAACAGGTTCTGCCTGGATGTGGGGGTTGGCGTGGGGAGAGAGGAGAAGGTGTGGAGCAAGGGAGAGAAATGGCCCAAACAGTATCTGCACATGTGAAAAAATGAATAAAAAAAACTTTATTGAATACATACTACAAAAAAAAAAAAGAACTCTGGAAGTTAACCAAAGGCTTATAATAAAATGAAGACCATTTACTCAAGAAAGTGGCTGAGTCTTAGTAAAAATCTGGATTTTGTGGCACTTTTAACTTGCTTTCTATCCTCCTCTCCCTCAGCTTCTCAGCAGCCTCCCAATCATTGTAGCTTTGGGAACAGCTGCCAAAGAGCCATTGGAGATGGCTTACAGCTTCCCCAGAAAAACATCTACAGAAAACTCTGTGTGTCTTGTCTGGAAGCCCCCTGAAAAGCCTTTCTTAGGATGTGTTCTTATTTGACCACACTCGGAACTTGCTTGGTGCAAATAGCCCCATCCCCAGAGTGTTTGTCAAAAACAATCTGTAGCAATTGTTTAACATCATGGCTGCTTGATACAGTGATACCAGTCCAGTCAAAAAAGAAGCTAGCCAAAAAAACTAAAGGAAAATGAGATTAATATGGCATCCCATGTTCATGGAACAGGAGAGAGACTTAAATTATTAAGATGGCAATATTGTCAATATCATCTACAAGTTCAACACAATCCCTACTGCAGTCTCCCCCCAAAAATTGATCAACTGAATCTCATAAGACTTATATGCAAGTGCATGGAGTCCAAAATAGCTAAAATAATCTTGAAAAGGAATAAAGTTGTAGAGCTCACATTTCCTGATTTCAAAACCCACTCTACAAAGCAACAGCTATTAAAACAGCATAGTGCAGGCATAAGGATACACATGATCATCAATGGAATGGAACTGAGAGTACAGAAACACACCACTATATTTATGATCAGCTGATTTCTAAAGGGGAAGTACAACAATGCAATAGAGAATAGTCGAAAGTTTTTAACAATAGTGCAGGGATAATTAGACATCCACATGCAAAAGAACGATGTCAGATCCCTACCTCAAGTCATATACAAAACTGAACTCAAACTGAATTATAGACCTAAGTATAAAATGTAAAAATGTAAAACTCAGAACATAGGCATTCATCTAAACTTCATGACCTTTAGTTAGTAAATGGTTTCTTAGACAGCACATAAAGAAAAACCAGATATATTGAACTTTATTAAAATTTTGGTACCCAAAGGATATCCTCAAGAAAGTGACAAGAGCCCTCAGAATGAGAGAAAGTATTTGCAAATTTTAAGTCTGATAAGAGACTTGTATACAGAATACACGAAGAACTTACAACTCTATAAAAAAACAATACAACTCAATTTTGAAAACAGTAAGTTTTTAGTAGACATTTCCTCAAAGATGATATACAAACTGCTAATAAGGACATAAAAAGATGCTCAACATTAGTTATTTGGTAAATGCAAATCAAAACCACAATGGCATTCTACTTTATACCCACTAGAATGACATAAGTAGAAGAAACAATGTATTCCCAAGGATGTGGAAAAAACTGAAACTCATCCACGAATATTATGATTACTCTAAGAAGCCAATCACAAAAGACCACATATTATATGATTCCATTTATATGAAGTGTCCTGAACAGGCAAATCTGTAGAAACAGATAGTAAATTAGTGGCTGGGGGAGGAAGGAATGAGGAATGATTGCTTATGGGTACAAGGCTCCTTTGAGGGTTAGACAGTCCTGGAATTAGGTATTAGTGATGATTGTATAAATGTGAATAAAGGGAGTTCACTTTAAAAGGGTGAGTTTTATGGTATGTGAATTATATTTCAGCAAATCTGTTAGGAAGAACAACCTAAGACTTTCCACTGGTTTCCTAAATTTTCCAATGTGATCTTGCTCCTTCCTCCTGACTTCATGCGTTTACAAGGACATATAGTGACACTGCTATGTGCCAAGTGCTGTTTGAGACATCAGTGAATAGGAAAAATCCCCTCTCAGAAGTAGGCAGATTGGCAAAAAAAAAGATACAAAAATCATTGTTTCAAGTGGTAAATGCCATGGAAAAACAATGCAAACAAGAACCAGGAGCAAGGATGAGAGCTAAGTCCTTACTTTAAGTAGGATGGTCAGAATAGCCCTTATAAGGCTTGTCCTTCTCTCTTTCTGTTGCTCATATACAGTAAGCTTGACTATATTTGGGGCCTTGGCTAACTCTTCCCTTTCTTCATTTTCATGACCTGTTCCTTCTTGCCGTTCAGTTTTAGTTTACAAATCTTCCCCTAAGCGCCATTCCAAGATTATTCTTTCTAAAGTAGCTGCCAGTAACTCACATCACCTCCCTGTCGATTCTTTTTATATCACTTATTCATTTAATTCACTCATTTGACAAATATGAATGCTTCTCATATGCTGAACAATTCTGGGAATATGGCAATGATCAAAGGTCCAAATTCTTGCCCTTATGTAACCCAAAGCTTATGGAGAAGGGAAAGTAAATACACAGGATTACATAGGGATATAAACTATGGAGAAAATTTAAAAAGTAGAGGTATGAAAACTATTGGAATAAGGGAGCAAAGGGCTGCTATTTTCTACAAGGCTAGTTGTAGACTCTGTTGAGCTAGTTGTAAAGCAGATGTCCAAAGGAAACAAGGGTAGGTTGGCTGTAAGTATAAGGATGGGAATGTCAAGAACAGAACAATCTGAGATTCAAGGCATGGCTTAGAACATATTTGAGGTGAAAAAAACTGAGACGAGGGATCTAGTCACTTTTTTGTTTTTTTCAGGTAGCAGTAATGACCTTGTTTAAAGCCATCCTGAGGAGGCTGGCTGAGTGGTTAAAGTGGTAGAGTGCCTGCCTAGCAAGCATGAGGCCCTGAGTTCAAACCCCACTTCTATAATGCCACCCTGAGTTTGAGGTTCAAGTACAACCATGTAGGGATGTCTAGCAGCAGATGAGAAGATGTGTCTGAAACCTGGAATAGTGGGGCTAGGAGTAGATTTAGGAGTCAGGCATAGAAAAGTGAAAGAGAAGCTTGTAAGAAGAGATGAATTGAACAAGATCTGAAGAAGAGTGCTAAATCTTAGGGGATTCAACAAATACTTTAAGAATGCAATACATATCCCTTTCTGATGTTTCAGAACCCTTCACTCAACTCTTTAGCCCCATCCATTGTAATACCAGTGACCTTTTCTTATTGACAGCCACAACCCCAGTGCCTAAGAGTACTAGAAACATAGTATGAGCTTGGGAACTACATAAAGAATGCCAAGACAAATTAAATGTTAGCCTTCTTGTTTGGCATTCGTATTAAGCTAAGAAAATATCCAACATCTTTAGCTCAAGAAATACACAATCATTCTGGGTCTCTCAGGGTTTTAGTTTGTGGTATATGCCTTTCATTATCTGTATACTTTTTTAAATACTACACTGAGCACCCAGAATTTATTTCTAATGTTCTTGCATCCTAATTTATAGATTAAGATGCAAAGGGATCCAAGAAAGACAAAATGTACACCAACATCCCTGCACTGAATGGAGACTGTTCAAAAGCATTCATTCTACTTGCACCTTAAAAGCTTTTAAGTCTCTACAGAGCCTTCCGCTCCTGCAAGGGCAATGAGGTCTGGGTGTGTTCAGACTAAAATGACTAAGCCAGCTGTATGACTTACACACTTCCTTTTACTTAAATGGCGCCCATTTTCTTATGTTCTGGGATGCTGAGCAGTATTTTGTCATCATGTTTTCCTCTCACTCTGAAAATAAAAGAATGCTCCTATTAAGATTAGAACTGTTGAGTTGTGCAGACATGAAAACAGAAAAAGTGTTCCTTTTCTTATTTGGTAAATATTTTGCTTTTGAGGCATCAGTAACTAATCACAGCTGTTTCCTTTAGTTACAAATGGATTCAATCAGGTAGAATTTCAAATGAAACATGCAAACCACCAGAGTCATTCCATTATACAGTACAATGGTAGCGTCAAGCCTTGTGAAATACATGTATTAAGTATGCATGTATTCATCAAATCAGACAAAGAAGCTAATGGGTCTTTGATTAGTGTTCTAACTATTATGGTGATACTTCCATCTCACCCTGACTCATCTAAAACATGTGAACAAAATGCTAGTAAGTTTGATATACAATCTGTTAATGTGCTATCATTCCAGCTAAATACTGCACACTGAATTTTGGCTAGATTTCCCTTTTGAAATCAACAGGAAAAAGTGCTGTTGTTAACTTGATATACTCTTCAATCTAACGTTAATAATTTTAGTTATGTCAAAATGAAAACAAACACTAACCAGATCCCTGTTTATCCTCATCTAGGATTCATAATCTCTTTGTCCAAAGGGATTGTTATGTGGAAATTGATGAACAATAACTAGTTCAATTCAGAATCAGATATTCAGAAAAATAACAAATGCATTTTTATTCAACATTCAAATACAGATTTTTATTATCTCATAATAATAAATTGATAGTTTTAAGAAAACACCTTAACCAAAAATTCATCTACAAATAAAAAAGCAGCATGCTTTTCAGAATTTGCTCACTTTAATATTTAACTTTGCTTTTAAAAAAGATGAATGTTGCTGGTGGAATGGCTCAACTGGTAGAGCGCCTCCCTAGCAGGGCTCCCTTAGCCCTGAGTTCAAACCCCAGTAAAGATGTCTGTTACAATTAGACACATAGTCATTTAGTTAAGTCTAAGTTCTGTTTGTCAAAATGTTTTTAGCTGGGCATGGGGGAGCTCACCCACAATCCCAGCATTCAGGAGGCTGAGGCAGAAGGATCATAGTTCAAGGCCAGCTTGGAGTACATAGTGAGACCCTGTCTCAAAAGAGCAAGTTCTTTTAGAGACTACAACTTAATTATCTTTTACTTCTCTTCAGTGATTTTTTTTCTAAACAATGTAGAAGTACTCCTTGAGAGACAAAAAGCAGGAAGCTGATTTTCCCCCAGGTAGGTCAGAGTGCTATCTACAATAAAGGCTTGAATCCAAGGGACCCCCTGCTCTAACTTGCAAAATAGGAAAGTAACAATAGTACTAATCACTATTAAAAATTAACAACTTTAGGTATCTTTGTTTTAGGTTTCTGAGGTTTAGGAGCATCCAAAATTTCTTCATAGTCAGCACTCATTCCCTTTGCCCAGCGACCAACTGTGACCATTCGATCTGAAAGGAATATAAAAGTTAGGATATAAAAAAAAAACCAGTAATAAATGCATCTTCTTAGACTGGTATTGGCTTAGCAAAGAACTAGTTTTGACAGGAATAATCACAAGGAGGGAAGGCTCCATCACCAAAGGAAAGTGAGCAATTCTGTAATTGATTATAACCCTTGATTTCAGAGTACCACAGGCAATTTCTCATCCCAATTAGGGAAATGCAGCAACTACTTTGCAATGCACAAACTGATGAGAAAGCTCTTTCATTCTTTCCCAGAGTTCATCATTACAGAGTCAATGAATTCCAAGAGTCTGTAAACAGCAAGACTTATGAAGCAATAGTTTTAAATGCACAAGATTCCACCTGTGAAATTATACAACATCTGCTTGTCAGTCTTATCATTTGGGAAGTGGCAATCCCCCTGGGAGGGAGAATTCAAATTCCACTTCATCATTTCAATCTCATTGCCTACAGTGTAGTAAAGACTATCTTCTCTAGGCAAGATTGTAAACAAGAACCCTTGGTTTTCAAATTTAAATGCTAGGGGCAGGAAGTAAGAATAGGCAGACTTACAAAATAAAATGTCTTTTCCTAAGAAGTGCTACCAGGCTATCCAAGTGTCTTGCTTTAATATGAGGTTGTCACCATTCTAATCAGGCAAACTAATGGGGTAATAATCTCTACTTCCACAAAAACCTGCTACAGGAACAATGAATGTTTATGAAGGTTTTGATAAACAAGGATAGTATTTCATTAGAAAGAAAATAACTAGCCAGATGCTGTGCTGATAACACATTTTTAATCATTATGGAAGTTTTCAGTCTGAATCATTTACATACATACAAAGCAACACACGTATGAGGGCACTCAATCCTACGAATGTTAAAAGTTACTTTCATATTTTGATTTTTCTTAGTGGATCAATACTTTCAATAAGTAACAAAATGTCTCTACTGTAATGAAATTATTAGTTAGCAAATATAAAAGTCATAGATACTTTTTAATAGACTGGTCCTCTATGGCTTATTGGTCACTTTTTTTTTCCTGAGAACAGCAGCTAACGCTTAGTTACTCAGTACTGTGTCTATTGCTGACACAGATGGTATTGAGTCATTGCCTAGGTAAGAAAACAGGTTGCCTTCAGATGAGTAGTGCCTCTATGAGTTATTAATAACAAAGTACATCAAAAACACAGAGGAATACCTTGCCCCTTCTATAAATGGAGGCCCAAGGACTCACCTGAATTCTGACCTTCAGGGCAATCTTTCTTTAAATGTTCCACAGAGCCACAAAGTTTGCAACTACCACCTAGTAAGAAAACAAAGTCACTGAGTACTCTCTCATACTCACACAAGGTTTTAGTATCTTAAAGCACTTTCATATTTATTTGATCCTCACATCTCCGTCAGCTAAAAGGTCTACTTTAAGCAGCATTCCAGGATTGTGAGTGACAACACAGGTGGCTTCTAAAATGAATCCTTCACTTAATGGTGAAACACTATTGCTTAATGGTCAGATATTATTATAATCATGCTTATAATATTAAGTGATTTCATCAGAAAAATGACCTTATGGAATAAAAACCTTGCTGAATTTTCACACTTATGTGATCTATTCTTCTTGCCTTTTTTTTTTTTTTTTAAAATCTGGCCATTTTGGTTGACCACACAAAGTCATTTTTGCTCATCAGTCAATTTTCCAGGTCCTGGTCTCTTTATTATCTTATATTCCACAGTAAAACAGATGAGGCATTTGAAAAATACAATTTAATCCTAATAGGTAATGCCACAATTCATCAAATCTAAGACACCGCTGATTATAAAATGTAGTATTTCATGTACCTTTCAAAAAGGAAAAAAAAAGCTGTCAATCATGTGAGACCTACTAATGGTTAAGAAACACTCTGATTTCAGATATTAAAAATGTGGAAAAAAATGCATCTTAGGATCAATGAAATCTAGTTTTCTCATCTCCATTTTATAGGTGACAAAATTAAGATGAGAGTTTAGTAACTTGGCCAAAATCCCACAGCTGGTTAGTGGTGGGGCTGGGACCATAACCCAAGTATGAAAAACTCCAAAAGCTATGCCTGTTCACTGGACTACCCTACGGAGAGCTCAGGACATGACACAAAAAGTGTATGGAACTTGACATCACCAGCCATCACATTAACATATAACAATCTCCTTATAAAGCTTCAGGTATCACAGACTTTATTGCAGGACCTTATAAACTGCCTAAGTTAGAGACAAGAAAGTTACATGAACCTATGTTAGATAACTACTGAGGAAAAAAGTCAGAAACAAAAATTACTATGAAATGTAACAGTGCATACCATCCTTTCTACCAAAATGGTCTGCTGGGTTGAGATTAACCACATAGTACTACTTTTAAAATCTTGTAATAGTTAGAATTATAATCTCACTGCTTCTGTTATGTTTAAAAGTAAAAATGTAGATCCGTTTGTGGTTCATAAGCATGATGATTGGGTGTTCACGCCTTTGTGTGACATGTGCCTCAAACCTTGTTATGTCATCAGCACATTACCCTTCTGATGTGAAAAAGAAAAAGTAAAAATGTATAGAATACTTGCAGTTTGAAACATATACCTTAGCTTTTTTTCTAATTTACTAATATATCAAGCCATATTAGACAAAAAGCCCAACACACAGAATAGTACTTGATGAAAGTACTCAAGGTTCACAACTTATTCAGCAATTTAAAAACTGATTAAGGATCATCACAACTCTGCATGAGTCCTCAGTGTGACTGGCACCTGAGGGGACAGTACTCACCATCAGCATAGAGTCCTTTGGGATTATCAGGACAAGATCTGGACAGGTGCCCCATTTCCCCACAAACAAAGCATTTTGCAAAAGGAAATTCACCTGTAAGAATCAACAGTTCTCTTTAGGTTATTATGTATACGACAAGTCAAATAATTCACATTACTTTAAAATAGTCTAAACAGAAACCACATTTTTTACATAACTTGAAATTTAGTCTCATATGGTTTCAAAATATTAAGTACCATGCTCATAACAAATTCTGTAGACAAAAAAATACTCAGTAAGCTATTTACTGATCATCTTCCCCACCAACCAAACAAGAAACTGAAAGAGCACACACCCAGAGCTGGGTCTACGTTAGCTTTGCACTTCGTTATTTCGTGCTCTGTGGATCCACACCGATAACATATTCCAGTGCCCATATCTTGATTTTCAAGGGCAGCTGGGCAATCAGCAATTCCATGGCCAGGTTTTCTACAATGGAAACATACCTGGGAAAACAAAATGTGAGTTTCCGTACTGCAAAACCACATTAGTGATGCTACTAATTCTTACTATTAAAAATATCTTTAAAACATTTTTATTTTAAAAGTCATTTAGCTCTTTAAAAAAAGTCCCAATAGATCATCTGTAGAAAAACTGTTTTACATTTTCTTAAACAATCAGAAATGTCATTTCCATCAGAAGGTCTCAGTGCTTTTGAAAATTTTTTACCAATAAATCCATTAATTTCAGAAACAATGTTATACATGGCTTTGTAGAACACAATTGCTTAAATGAATGGAGGAAATATGGATTATGTATCTTAATAAAGATGTGTGCACTAGGAAAAAAATGGGAGTTTTCTGTAGAAGACAGACAATGGCGATAAAAAAATGAAAAATTGCTCAAATTAATGTCTGCACTTTATTTTTTATTGTGCTGGGGATACACTGTGGCATTGTTAAAGTTTCATGTTTGTACTTTTAAATTTCACATAAATGAATGAATTTGAATCTTTTAAACTATGACTCAAATCACAAGATGTATTTTATAGCAAAAAAGTATATCCTACTTTTTTTATACTCTTAATGCACAGAAAGTTTTCATTTTAAAATATATACACAATACATATTCTTAGATGAATTTTTAGGCTCTAATATGAAACTGAACAATGTATAGTTATTTACATAATACCTAGATATTTGAACATCAATTATAATCAAAGATAGAAGATATTCAAACTATTTTAAAGTGGAAAAAAATATACATATATAAAGCAACTAATATAGTTCATCATTTAATTATTCTTTCAAAAAATAAGCACAGGTTTTTGTTTTGTTGTTTTTTTAGATGGGGGGCTTGCTAAGTTACTCAGGCTGGCCTTGAACTTTTAATCCTCCCATCTCAGCCTCCTGAACAGCTGGGATTACAGATGTACACCACTACAGAAGGCTAACACAGGTACTTTTTTTTTTTTTAAAGGCAATTTGGGCAGACAAAATAAAACATGTGTTTTGCACCTCTATCCTAACTTTCTTTCTTTTTTTCCCTTTATTTAATAACACGAGTTCCTTTAAATCCCACAATAACTTTCCATTTACAATGAGCTGGTCCAAGCAAAGAGACTTCATTTCTCCTACAACTGTAGAAAAGCTACTACTAAAAACTAGATCACCAGCAAAAGCTACTGCCTTGACTTTTGAAAATCATCACTGTCAGATACAAATTTCTTCAGTAGTCCTTAAACTGAAATGTAGATGTGATTACAGATACCTGTTAGGTAAATCTTTACATCTTAATCAATTTACTAGACTTTAAGAACTGATGGTTAGTATGAAGTATTTTCAAAAGACCCACATGTTATTTATAAAGCATTCCTTTATGTGAAAACAACAATAACAACAAAAAAAAACCCCACCACTTCTCCCCCTTAAGAGGTGTAACAACAAACTTTTTTCAAAAGGTCTGCAATTCACCATTCGTCCTATGTTAATTATCTTCAAGCTAAATGAACTTATCTGGTTTTAAAATATTTTTCTGGTTTTAAAATATTATTAAAATAACTAATTTTACAATTTAAAGAAAACTCTATCCTGACTCAAATAGAAATGACTACCGTCTATCCAAATTTATCCACGAGCAACATTTTATCGGTATTATCTCTAAATACTTATTTTTAAATATGATAATGCAGCCTGCACTGGTACAAACAGTGCCCTCTACATTTAGTAAATCTAATACAAAAATGAAAGTGCAATAACGGCAACAAGTCTAATTCTTATGCAGTATCTTGCTGGACGACAGGAAATTCACTTAGAGAATAGAAAGAATTATATTGAGTATTTTTTTTCCTGTGTCTGACTAGTTTAAAATCTAGTGGTAGGCATTACAGAAATAAACCTGCTGCACACAGGCTTCAGGCTGTGATCCTCCTACACATCTGTCTCCTTTTAGCTGGGATTACATGCATGTAACACCATGCCTGGCTCTTTTGGGATATAGTCTCAATAACTTTTTGCCTGGGCTGGCCTTGAACCATGATCCTCCTATCTTTGCCTCCCTTTCTAGCTAGTATTACAGGTGTGTGTCACCATGGTTGGCAGGACCACAGGTTTGAAGTCAGACAGACTGAGTTTGAATTTCACCTCTGCTATTGACTTAATCTGTCTGCACTTCAGTATTTCTGCTTTGTAACAAAAGAATCATACCATCACCTTTGTAGTGTTATTATAACTAACCAGTACATCAAATGTATGCTAAGAAAGCATAAGCCTTAATAAAGCTACAACAGCAATTAGAAAAATTTGTGTATGTGTGAGTAAAAAATGACAGTTTCTACCTGTATAAAGTAAATAACATGGTAGAAGTGATGATCTCACCATTGCATTTTTCTTTGCTGCTTGTCTTTTTAATCGTCTTCCTTCTCGTCGACTGTCTTTCTTTAAAGCAACTGCAATTTCTTCCCTTACTTCCTGGCTATCTGCTGCTATCAGCTCCCCACTGTGAACCATCTGTGAGTTCTGTCGTAGGTATTCCATGAATCCGTTCACATCTTCATTTATGTACTCTTTTTTCTTCTTGTTCTTTTTATGTTTGGCCTGAGGTGCATCATTTTTAAGGGACTGCCTATCCACTGCAAGTTGTTTATCCTTCAGAAAGTTTTGGCTCCTCCCCTCAAAGGACCCCTTCTTCATGTCCTCCCATGATGTTGCAGGCAAGGGTCTCTTATTCTGTGTGGTAGTAACTCGTGCCCACCTGGTCATGGTTTCATCAGAAGGACCTAACCAATCTTTAAGATGAACGTGGGTGGTCAGTCATCAATTAAAAGAAAAAGTAAAGATACACAGTATATCACTACTATCAAATATGCTCACACTACACTTTTAATTATTAACACTTACTTCACTTAGGCATCAATGTATGTATTTAATTCTATGACAGGTTGCATAGATAGCCTCTAGTATAAATCTGGTACTTAACCAGAGAAGCCACTATACCAATGGTGGTGGGGAGGCTTAAAAATTATTAAAAAATTATTTTGCTTAAAACCGCAAAATAATTTGGTCAGAATTCAAATTATTTCATAAACTAAACAATACATAGTAAACTGAATGCAGTTAAGCCTTCCAAATGCTGTAGTTTCTACGCCGTTTCTTTTCCTATTTTCTCAGTCTTGTCTGTCACTTCAACAAAATATGCAAAGCAGGTTACTAAGAACACAGAAATCTTGTCCTTTAAGGTGAAGTTTGTCTTTACAGTTCTACAGTGTTTTCTGACAGATTTGTAAATAAAATTGGTACATAAAAGTGTTTACAGTCACGTGATGATGCCAGGTCTTCCTCTCTTACTAATGAGGGTGGCTGCTATCTGTAGCTCAGTGGCATTAAATCATTCTCAATGATTCCATTTAAATGATTCGAATCACAAGATAAATTTTATATCCGAAGTATATCTTCTTTTTATACCCATAATACACACTCTAATATTCAGAAGTACATGTTTCATTTCATTCATGCATACACATTTTAAAGGAGTAACTTATTCTACAACGAATCATTTGGCTCCCACGTAATGCTGTGGTTACTTCCCATGCTACCTGGCGAGCTGCGGACGTTTTTTCCTCCGCAGTCAATGAGCCCGAAAGGCCTAATCACGGCATCCGGGCCCGGGCCGCGCCCCCGCGGTCAGAACGGCCTTCGACGCGGGCGTGGGACGCTCATCGCCTGAGGACCAGCGACTGTCACAGACAGCCCAGTACTGTTTAAGAGGGGGTAATCTCCGCCCCTGACTCAGGGTTAGTGGGAGGCTCGAGTGACATGGAACAGCGGGCTTGCCGGGTCCGCCGGCACCGCGGGCTGCAGCGAGGCCAAGGCCGGGCGCAGTGCCTAAGAGCCCAAGCCATCCCCGCGCGGGCGCTCGGCCCACCTGCCGCTGGTGCTCTCGAGGACCCACCAGCCAGTCTCTGCCCTCCCGCGCTTGCCACACACATCCGAAAGAACCAGGAGGGCCCTAGACATCAAGGGACCCGGAGACCCCATGCCATGGCGTCCCCCTGCGGCGTCTTACCGCGCCTGAATCCTCCAGAGCAGCCGAGTTAGTGAGCCAGAGAGGCTCGGTCCTCCACCGCAGCCAGGGCCTCGAGACCGGAAGCACATCTGCCCGAGAGCGCGTCACTTCCGGCGGGCCCGGCCCAGGGCTGGCGAGGCGCCACCGTGGCTTTAGATTTCTCTACAGGGCGGGTTCTGTAGCCGCATGTTTGTTTGTGGATCGTGTTGTGTTTAAAGGGCGCTATGCTGGAAGCCGAAGGCAGAGAGATGAAGAGGGCTCAGTCTGGGAATTTGCATTTAGTGGGAGAGACAGTCGGGAGGATTAGTGGGGTAGGAGATACCTGAAGGGCTTCCTTGGGATGACCTTTGAACTGGATTTTGAAAAGCAGAATAAAAATCTAGTAAAATTGGCGGTAGGTGGGAGTTGAGGACTTTCCAAGCAAAGACAAGGTAAAGGTACACTGGGAGTAGATCACTGCGATAAAACTATGAAAACGACATTTGTGGGTTTTGTCTGGTCTTGTGTGGGGAGCCCCTCCCCCACCCGCCCCAAAGTTGTTCCTAGTGAGAAAATAGCATTTTCACATCCACTGGGTTCCCCATGATTATGCACCAGTCATTTTGCCTCCTAAATAGTTGTCCACTTCTTTCCCTCTGTGTCTCCTTTCTTTGCTTTTTTTTCAATCTCTACTGCCACTTCTGTTGTCCCAGCTTTCGTGTCTCACCTGCATTATTACTGTCAGTCCGGACAGTTCTTGCCTTATTCAAATTTTTTTAACACGTGAACATTTATTATATATGTATTAGAGTGCCAAACAGATTGTTGCCTTCCTGCTTTAAACTCTTCCATCAGCTCTCATTGTTCTGAGGAAGATGGTCAAACTCTTTAGCATAGTATTAAGTCCCTGCCCACTTCAGTAGCCTCACCTTGCACAATCTCCCCCTCTTTTTGAGCTCTATTAATAGAGGCCTTCCCTTTGTTTCTCAAATGCCACCTGTATTTTGCTGTCTCCAGGCCTTACACATGCTATTCTCTCTGTATGATACTCCTTTGCTTCCAATTAATTTCTTATCTTTCAAGGCTCTTAGGTTGTTATTCTCATGTAAGCTCTCAAAGCCCCTCCCATACTTGATCAGTTCCCTGTTGTACACTCATGGCAGTCTGTACTTCCTGATGACAACTTTTCAAATTTGTAATCGCATAATGAATTGTGTAATAAGTTGCTTATCGCAACCCCATTGCCTCGTACATAGTTGGTTTCAGATTTTAAACACCAACCTAGTGACATTTCAACTTTGTGAGGTTTTATTTTTTTTTAGATACCTGGTGTTTGACCGTGATGTATACCACTAGAGGGCGCATGCAACTTGTAGTATTATGCTGAATTTTAGAGTGTGGGAGCATTTCAATTTGTTTTTGTAGAGATATATCAAATAAGATTGGTAGTTAAGTAAGTAGATCATACAGTAAATCCTTTGAGATTTCAGAAGCAAATGTTACTATTCTAATAATAGCCAACGTTTACTGAACATCTTACAGGTGCCTGGCACTGTGCTTAATGTTTTACATCCATTACCCAATTAATCCAATATTCTGTGAGATAGGTACTACTGTTTTCTCCATTTTACAACGAGAAAACAAGCTCAGGGAGCTGAAGTAATTAGTCAAGCTAGTAAGAGAGAGTGCCAAAATTTGAACGAAGATCTGAGTCCACTGCTGTGAGCTCATCCACTTGAACTCACTTTAAGATATACTAAGTTATCTTTGCCCATGTGAGATTTTTGGGAGGGTGTATTTACTTTTAACAGTTCAAGAGATTATCTTTTTACTTATTGAGATGCTATAAATATTTTCATAACAAAACACAAGCAAAGCAAACGTTAAATGAGGAGGCAGGGGTTTGATTTTGAAGAGTTAGTAATTCAAAAAATGTAAAAATTAAAAAGTATATCACATATACCAAAAAGGATATAAAACATGAAGTAATTGTAAAACTCATATTCATATAAACATTACCCAGTTTAAGGAACTGGTGAATATTATTTTTAATTATATTAATTTTTTGCATGTGCAATACATGTTTATGTTTCAAACAAAAAAGTTACTGTGAGAATATAAACTTTCTGCAAACCATCTTTCATTGTGATTCTATAAATTCTAGGCAAAATGTAAAAAACAACTACCTGCAGATTCAGAAGAAAAAATAAAAACAGAAGATTGTGCAAGGGAATCAGAATTTGGAGAAGTAAGTAGCACATAGCTGAGTGTCCTTTTGCCTGGAGAAGGGATTTTTCTCTGAAAGTGGGACATTGTGATTCATAAGGTGGTAGAGCCTGAATAGCTAAAACTGTAATAGAAAACCCCTTACCAGCCTTTGGTCTGAAAGGATGTGGAAAAAGAGCATTCATCAGCAATCCCTGGGAAGAAGGAGGAATTATAGAGGGAAGAGAACCACAAATAGGAACCTTCCTCTACTTCTGTGTATGAATACTACACAAGTCTCTGGCTGGTTCCAGAGCACACATGCACACGACAAACTCAGAGTCTTAAAGTAATGAACTAAGTCTGGAATCACCACTCACAAAAAGTTGGACAAAACCTAAAACACAAATATAAACAAGTTACTTGCTTTATTTTTCCCCTTCAGGAAAAAAATAGAACTCAGAGTATATACAAAATAACATCCATGATTTCCAGGATAAAATCCAAACTGATGTGTTATACAAAGAACTAGAAAAATGTGAAACACTGTCAGAAAAAAAAAATAGATGGCAATTTAAGATGACCTAGATGTTGGAATTATCTGACAAGGTCTTTATAAAGAATCTATTATGACTGTGTTCAAGAAAATAAATGAATAATATAAACTAATTAAAAAATATGAAGAAGTTGTAAATGAATTAAAAAATGAGAAATCTCAGTATATAAATAGAAAATATACGTTTGGGTGCCGTGGCTCATTCCTATCATTCTAGCTAGGAGGCATAAATAGGAAAACTGCAGTCCAGGTTGGATTGGGTAAAAACATGAGGGGGAAGAAAAACCTATCTGAAAAATAACTAAGCAAAAAGTGCTGGGGGTATGGCTCAAGTGCTAGAGGCCTGCCTAGTAGACCAAGGCCCTAAGTTCAAACTCTAGTAGTGCCCAAAAAAAAAAAGAAATACGGGAGGAGAGAAGAAGGGGAGAGAGAGAAAAAGAAAGAAAAGTGGAATATTTCTCTTAACTCTGCTAGAAATTTACTCTCCCACTGCAAGTAAGAGCTTCTGGAGCTCTCTTTGTGCCCAAATGCCCACTTCTAGGTCTGGGCAGTTGTTGAATTCAGGATAGGGAATACCAGAGGAAGTTAATACTGTTAACTTACCACTGGTTCAATGGTACTTGAAATTCTGTACTCTTCCCCAGCTTCCTTGTTACTATTTATTTTTCATTCCTGAAGTAGCTGATTTCTGTATTATATTTCATAGTTGTATTCGGTGGAAGGGTTGGTGGAGTGTGGTTATGCTATCTATATGAAATTGTATACATCAGTATTAGAATTTTAAATCCCCATTCCTGCCCAAATCCTCTCTGGGTGACAGGTGCTTAGCTCATTTGGAAAGTGACCAAGGAGGTGCTTCAGGACTAGGAGTATCCAAAGCCCAGCATGTGTAGGCCAATCTTCTAGCTGAGTCTTACATGGGAGTGAGCAGCTTCAAGGCAGCCACGTTAGCTTGAAAGTACATTGGAATGGAGGATAGTGAATTTGGACAGGAAGGCTGGAACCAGATTTTGTCAAAGTGTTTGAATTTTATCTCTTAGAGCTTACAAAATGAAGAGCTATAGATCTTTTTAGGTCCTATAGTACAACCTTTAAAATTGACCTAGAGAAGAAGGTTGTATATGAAAAGTGTACCTAATTCAGTGCTCCACACCTTCTGGATACTTACTGAATTTCATTAGAACACACAGAAAAGTAGAGCCAAAGAGAGGAGGAAATGAATGAATGGCTCTGTTGTTTGAAGTAAAAGTGAGATCAAGACTCACTTACAAGTGACATTGTAATCACTTATGTCTTAAAATTTTGTTAATGATTTTTTTGGCTGCTTTAGGACCCTTACAATAAAGCATATGGTTACTATAATTAGGAATTAATTTTTCTTGTTTATCATTTGGTAAATGCTCTTCAGTGTTACATTTAGAATCATTTTTAACGTGTTTTTAATCCATGAGGTTTTGAAACAGCACATGAGAATTTTCGGTTATATACAGATTCATAGAAACATAAGCCTTTTAAAATCCTAACCCCTTGTTTTGCAGATCAATAAACAAATGTCTCAGAGAAACTCAAGGACTGCCATAAGACGCAATGCCAGTGACAGATTTGTACCTGACATTCACTCTATGGTCCTTATTTTCATTTGCATTGTTGGTTTCCTCACTCAGTAACAAATGTTACATGTATTACTGGTTGATGTTAGAAGCAAAAGAAAATAGTATCTAAAGTGTCTAGCAGGAGAAACCCATTAGTGGAAGTTGCTTGAGGTTGCCAAGCAGTAACAGATGTGGATAATAGAAATTGTGTTCCTCCTAAAAAAGCTTGGATCTTTTTTCATATTCTTTGCTTAATTGCAACAAAGAATAGGATTAGGGTACTAATCATAAAATGGTGAAGCCTTCCAACTCTCATCTCACCCTTTTTTGGTGTGTCTCTCAAATTCAAGTTCCTAATCATGTTTTTTATAAGTTGGGGAGGGGGGTCAGGTGCTTCAAATGAATACTTAAGCATGAATTACAAGTAAGACAAGATTTGCAAGCTTTCTTCTGTTCTCTGGAATAAGTACTTCCTCTTCCTCTTATGTCTGAGAAAATAATACCTGATATGGGCCATGGTGGGAGGTCCTATAGTTACAAATGGAATTCTATAAAAGACAATAAGTGAAGAAAAAACACTTTTTGATTACAACTACTTGCCATGACCTTGTTAGGTGCTAAATGTAAAAAAAAGACAAAATCCTTGCCTTTAAGCAGCCAGCAGCCTGGGAGAGTAAGACATGCAGACTTACAAACCATGAATAAGGTGATGTGTTATATAATAAACAGTGAAGGAATAACAGT